GTTCTCAGGATTCAGTCCATACCTCTGCATGACCAGCTTTTTAAAGCTCTCATAGTCGTTGATTTGGGATGAGGGGAGGTGACCCATCAGTTCAGTTAAGTCCCCACAGACTAGGGAACGCAAGATTGGCATGTACATTTTCGGGGCGACCCCCATATCTTGGCAAGTTACTTCGAAAAGAGTCAGATAACTCAAAACATCAGTGGGGGGGCTGATATTTCGGAAATGCCCTCCAATTAAGGTTGCTCAGGGTTAACCCCGGAGGAGACTGTCTACAATAGTCTCTTCCCCTCTCGAGACTATAGTCATACCTTGAAACAAAATGTCGAGGCGCTCGTCCCTCCGGACACAGATGTTCTGCCGCTGTTGCGTATCCACGCGAAGGTCTCTGGAGAAATTCCTCTGCCACATATCGCCGCACCAGCACACGCGCCTCCCGAGCTCTTACCGGCGAGTAGACTCAACCTGGGCTGGGTGAACGCTGTCTCACCATCCGGTGACTGTCGTGTGCTGGAAGTCCTCGACGGCCGTCTCCCACAGTTGCATCTTGCAGCTGGCGCGGCAGGTCTTGGTATTCATAAGCCATCCGGCTAGCTCTTGGCCCCATCAGAATGGACTGGCCCATTTTCGGATATTTATCCCTGCACCGGAATTCTTGGCTCTCCCCCATCCATTCTGAAATTGTTTTTGCAACGTATGTTTCTAAATACTGTTCTTTAAAATTGGTAATCCTCTTAATCTCACTGTTTCCCCCCTCTCTTTTATCTGCAAAAGAAGGGTCTGGTCTTCTAAATCATTTTTTCTTTCTTGAAGGCCTCCCAGTCCCCATAACAACTTTCTGTTCCTCTTTCAGATGGCCCAGTTCCTCAGTGTTTTTTTCCAACTTGTCAACCTTAATTTCTAAATTGTTAACCTTCTCACCCATCTTCCCAAACTGTTCCGTTAATAAGTTGGTAGATTTTTCCAAGTCTGAGTGCACTTGTTGCACCAAACTCTTCATTGTCTGGGCCATCTCCTTCCTAAAATCAATAAATTGCTTCGTAAGAAAGTCAGTGTAATCTGCCTTCCCTGTTTTTTCTGTTGTTGTCTCTTCCTGTACACTTGCATGTTGCTTCTCAATGGAGGCCCTCCTAGTAACAGCTCCCATATTTTGTTTCCCCCTTTCCATGTCTGCACTAGAGGATTTTCCTACAGGTGTGACCTTGAATAGACCAAATAAAGATTCTAAGTTCTGCCCAGAAGTGAAAACATTTTTCTACTCCCGAGCTGAAACATAAAATCTTCCCCTTTACACTTTTGGACTCTTCTCCCACCCTTGCAAATCCTTACAAGAAATAGAAAATAAAAAAGAAGGGGGGAAAGTAAAAAAAGAATTAAAAAGCAAAAGTAAAAATATCACTGTTACCGTACCCCTTTCACACAAAGGTTAATCAATTAATTCAGCCAAATCTTACTTGCCATATATCAAACAGGCCATTTGCGTGGCGAGTTCCCGCCCCCCACCAAGGAGAAATAAAGACACTGGACACCAAGTATTAAGGTTAATGGGCGAATTAGGCCACAACTTTATTGATTTCAGGAAAGAGAGGTATTGGCTTAGGCATTGGTCCTATCGCTAGCTGGTTCCAGCCCGATTGCATGAAGACCGGCATGGGTTAACACCGTAAGGGGGAGTCTTGCTGAGGCACGTCAACTAGGAGCTCCCCCGGGTCACCGCTCAGGGGCGTGCCTTAGGCCCACACCTCCATAGGCTTCGGACAGGGCCACGCCCCCCTGGAATCCTTTAATGGACTACCCTTAGCTTTTGGGGGGAGGTGATGGTGTTTCCTCCCCCCCAACATCCTCTTAACCCCTTCTTACCAATGCCTAACCGCCACTCGAGCAACCGCTCGCCACCAGTACCCTCATGCCTGCAACCAATCTCTAATCCCCTTTGCTATGTCAGTCAGCCATATGTCATTTCCCGCATCTGAAAGATGCACGCCATCAAACCGGTAGAGTGCCTCGTTGTTGAAACGTATGCCTGGGTGGTCAATGACCCGCCCACCCGGGGCTGCCACTCTACGCACCACTGCCCGATCCAAGGCTTTCCTAGCCCTGTTTATGGCTATCGGGCACTGGCTATCTCTCCAGACCCACCTCTCCATCAATGATGCCCAGAGAATGATGATGTCTGCATAAGAGGCCTTCAACTCCTCAAAGTCCCTGAAAATATGCCACAACAGATCGACTGCCTTTCGGTACGCTAAGTTGTTTTCGCCTAATTGAATTACTAAAGCATCTGGGGGGCCTTCCACTGCTGCTCTGGCCTTAACTGCGGGTAACATTTCAGCCCAGCGCATTCCCCTCTGGGAAATCCAGGATATATTGATGTTTGAAGGTAAGTTGATGTGCGGCCCTAGACTGGTATCGATGGCACGGGCCCTGGCCCAATGCATAATGCTGTGCCCAATTATCCAGATGCGTACCCTCATATTTCCTGTAAGAAAATTGAAAGAACAGGCCAAGGTCAGGTAGCCCAAGGCAAGCAGTCATAATTTTTTCCTAACATAACTTTTATAAGCATCTGATTTCCAGCGGTCTAGATCTTTTATCCTCTCGGCAGACAGGCCCATGTGCATTGCTGTAGTGGCTGCCCCTATACGAAATGAGGGCGCCGCGAAATCCGCAGGGGGTAGTCCGCATGCTGCAATTGTTAAGCGCATGATGCGAGTGAACTGGTGCCATATCAGGAGTGAGCCATCGGCATGGATTAAGAGAGGCCCTGTGGTTGCATACAAAAATATCTCTCTTAGATTTTTTTGGAATCTCTTTATCTAAAATACTTAATAGAAATGCCTCCGGTTTTTTAGTAAAAGTTATCCCCATCATCTTTTTTAATTCATCGAATATTCCCCTCCCCCCCAAATCTTAATCTTTCCACACGTCCACCACATGTGGATCATGTCACCGTTATTTCCTCCACATCTCCAACAAGCATTCGCCAATTTTTTATACATTCTTGATAATCTGGAAGGAGTGAGGTGCCACCTATGAGCCATTTTCATCATGTTCTCTCTTATATTATAGCTGGCTGTAAATTTCAAATTTACCTTCCATAAGTTTTCCCAATCTTTTAGCATAATTGGAATGCCCACATCTTGGGCCCACTTTATCATTGAAGCCTTAACCTCCTCATCCATTACTTCATCGTCTAAAAGAAGTCTATACATTTTTGCGATTATTTTAGTTTTACTATTCAGTAATTCTCTTTCAAATCTTGAAGGCTCCTTTTCAAAACCTATCTGCTTATCCTGTCTGAACATTTCATTCACTGGGAAGTAATCTAGCCAACTAGAAAAGTGATATTTTATTTTCTCATAACTTATTAATATTAGTTGACCCTCCTCCTCCCTTAATATTGTGTTATATGTTATCCAGTTCTCTTTGATGTTGTTGTTTTTTTAACAGTGATTGCTTCTAATGGAGAGTTCCATCTTGGGGTTTTCTGTCTCAAATATCTTTTGTATTTTTCCCACACCTTATATATAGCATTTCTTATTATATGATTTGAAAAACTCCGGTGCGCCTTTATTTTCCCATAATTAAGATAGCCATGCCATCCAAAACGGGTGTCATGACCTTCTAGATCTAAAATATCCCAATTTTTTAATAAACACCAATCTTTCAACCAGAGAAGACATGAGGCTTCATAATATAGCTTCAAATCCGGTAACCCGAAGCCACCTCTTTCTACAGTATCTATTAATATCTTATGCTTTATTCTTGGTCTTTTACCCTTCCACAAAAATTTAGAAATTTCTTTTTGCCACTTGTCAATACTGCTGGTCTTTCCTATAATTGGAATCGTTTGGAATAAAAAGAGTAGCTTCGGTAAGACTATCATTTTAATTACCGAAATACGGCCCAGGAATGATAAACTTAAGTTTGTCCATGTCTCCAACTGTCTTTTGATATCTTTCCAACAATTAATATAATTATCTTCATACAAGTTAATATTCTTTGGTGTTATCCATAATCCTAAATACTTCATTTTGGGGTAGATTTTAATTTGTATTATTTTTTCTAATTCTGCTTTTTCATCTGGTGACAAATTTTTAACTAATAGTTTTGTCTTGTTTAAATTCAGTTTGAACCCCGCAACTTTACCGTAGCCATATATTATTTCCAACGCCTTTGTTAAACTCTGTTTTGGTTGCTCCGTAGTTATAATTAGATCGTCAGCAAATGTCCTCATTTTGTAACTTCTATTCCCCAGCATAATCCCTTTTATTTCTTTTCCCTCCCTAATTCGTTTACATAAAACTTCCAATGTTAATATGAATCTTATCTTTAAGTAATCTAGAATTCAAGAAAATCATACAATCATGCTACTGGGGAAGAGCGGAGGACAAGTACAAGTAGATCCAGAGCTGATGAAGCAGCTGGGCCAAAGCCGAAAGGACGCTCAGTTGAGGATATGCATGGAAGCGAAAGGAAAGTCCAATGCTGTAAAGAAAAATATTGCATAGGAACCTGGAATGTAAGAACCATGAACCTGGGTAAGTTGGATGTGGTCAAAAATAAGATGGCAAGAATAAACACACTTTTCCAACAACACAAGAGACGACTCTACACATGGACATCACCAGATGGGCTTCTTGTTGAAAATACACTGAAAAGGATATACCAAGAGCTCTGGCCACAAGTTTCAATATAAGGAATAATTCCTACTCGAGAGTTGAAAAGAAAAACGTGTATATTCTGCTAAGAATAACAGTTTGAAGCTAATAGTAAATTTAAACACAACGTATAAGTACGATAGTTTTAAGGTAATAGTAAATTTAGATACAACGTTTAAGTGCAGAAATAATGTAGTTTCAATTATGCAGTGATATAGTATAAAGGTACATAAAATACCAGTACACAACAATTGTTTTATACAAGTCTCAATGGCAGTCAAAAAAAGTCCATATTATATAAAATCAGAATAAAGAATAAAGAATCAAATAGGGCCAAAGAGGAGTATCCGGAGTGTGAATCAGATGTACGACTCAGTAGTGGTGACCAGGACAGGGCCCTGTTTCGGAGTAAACGCCTTCTTCAGCTGGTAATATCAAATAATATGTCAAAATAGATCAAGGTTCTTCAATACCATAGATCATAAATATAATAAAGTATATACATATTAAAGTGTATTAACACATATCATGATATTTGGTTCCATACCTCGGTTTTTTGAGGACTATAAATCTGTTGGAAGTCTATATCATTTAATTCTTTTATGTTTCTTTTTCGACATGCGTCTAGAAATAAGAATTTACAAGTGTTATTATTTCCAGTCAAATTGTTTGTGAAAAACGGACATCAGATGAGTGTTTTCTGACCTTAGATAATTGAATCCAAGTTTTCTTGCGTTTCTCTGTGCGTTTTCTATTAGGGAGTGAGATCATTGTCTTATATATGTGTCTGTGGGGGAGGAGGATAGGCCCTCCCTTCTTAAAGGTGTAAACAGAGAAGGGATTTAAAGTCCAAGGTCATCTATAGTGGTTTTTTAAAGAAAAGAATTGTAGTCTTGATGTTCATTCAAGCCCTTGGGGGACATCGTTTCAAACAAATGAATATATCGTGCTTCCTGTTGTAACAATAGTCTATCAATATTTCTTCTGGTATATAAATCTACTTTTGGTTTCCAGATAATGGAGAAGACAAAATCATCCTCCGTGTGTTTTTGCTGTATATAATGTTCCACCATTGGGGCTTCTAGCACTCTGTTACGGATCCGTGATCGATGTTCATTTATACGTAGTTTAATTGGTCTGGTGCTTTTGCCTATATATATCTTGTGGCATGGGCACATCCATGCATACACACTATTCTTCGTGTTACAGTTACTAAAATGTTCAATCTGAAACTTGAAGCCGGTCTGTATGTTGGTGAACTCCTTTACTTGTAGTGCGTATTTGCATACATTGCAACTACCACATTTGTAGTGGCCTTTAGTTGATGCTTCCGGGTATATAAGTTGGTCCGATTTCACCAAATAATTCCTCAGTGATTTTGTTCTTTTTAGACCAATTATAGGTGGTTTATGACATCCTGGGATGTTGGATAGCAAATGCCAATGTTTATATATGAGTTTCTTAATGCTAGAAGTATGTGGTGTAAATTGCAGTGATCTGTCAAGAGAACAAGCTGGTCATCACAAACACGCTTTTCCAACAACACAAGAGACGACTCTACACATGGACATCACCAGATGGGCAGCATCGAAATCAGATTGATTATATTCTCTGCAGCCAAAGATGGAGAAGCTCTATACAGTCAGCAAAAACAAGACCGGGAGCTGACTGTGGCTCAGATCATCAGCTTCTTAGAGCAAAATTCAAGCTTAAACTGAAGAAAGTAGGAAAAACCACTAGGCTGGTAAGATACAATCTAAATCAAATCCCTTATGAATATACAGTGGAAGTGAGGAACAGGTTTAAGGATTTAGATTTGTTGGGCAGAGTGTCTGAAGAACTATGGGTGGAGGCTCACAACATTGTACAGGAGGCAGCAACGAAAACCATCCCAATGAAAAGGAAATGCAAGAAAGCAAAGTGGCTGTCCAACGAGGCCTTACAAATAGCGGAGGAGAGAAGGCAAGCAAAATGCGAGGGAGATAGTGAAAGATACAGGAAATTGAATGCAGATTTCCAAAAAATAGCAAGGAGAGACAAGAAGGCCTTCTTAAACGAGCAATGCAAACAAATAGAGGAAAACAACAGAATGGGAAGAACCAGAGATCTGTTCAAGAAAATTGGAGATATGAAAGGAACATTTTGTACAAAGATTACCATAATAAAGGACAAAAGTGGTAAGGACCTAACAGAAGCAGAAGACTTCAAGAAGAGGTGGCAAGAATACACAGAGGAACTATACCAGAAAGAAATTGATGTCTCGTACACCCCAGGTAGTGTGATTGCTGACCTTGAGCCAGACATCCTGGAAAGTGAAGTCAAATGGGCCTTAGAAAGCACTGCAAATAACAAGGCCAGTGGAAGTGATGGTATTCCAGCTGAACTATTTAAAATTTTAAAAGATGATGCTGTTAAGGTGCTACACTCAATATGCCAGCAAATTTGGAAAACTCAGCAGTGGCCAGAAGATTGGAGAAGATCAGTCTACATCCCAATCCCAAAGAAAGGCAGTGCCAAAGAATGCTCCAACTACCGCACAATTGCACTCATTTCACACGCTAGCAAGGTTATGCTTAAAATTCTACAAGGAAGGCTCAAGCAGTATGTGGATCAAGAACTCCCAGAAGTGCAAGCTGGATTTAGAAGAGGCAGAGGAACCAGAGACCAAATTGCAAACATGCGCTGGATTATGGAGAAAGCTAGAGAGTTCCAGAAAGACATCTACTTCTGCTTCATTGACTATGCAAAAGCCTTTGACTGTGTCGACCACAGCAAACTATGGAAAGTTCTTAAAGAAATGGGAGTGCCTGATCACCTCATCTGTCTCCTGAGAAATCTCTATGTGGGACAAGAAGCTACAGTTAGAACTGGATATGGAACAACTGATTGGTTCAAAATTGGGAAGAGTATGGCAAGGCTGTATATTGTCTCCCTGCTTATTTAATTTATATGCAGAATTCATCATGCGAAAGGCTGGGCTGGATGAATCCCAAGCCAGAATTAAGATCGCCGGAAGAAATATCAACAACCTCAGATATGCAGATGACACAATCTTGATGGCAGAAAGCGAGGAGGAATTAAAGAACCTTTTAATGAGGGTGAAAGAGGAGAGCGCAAAATATGGTCTGAAGCTCAACATCAAAAAAAACAAAGATCATGGCCACTGGTCCCATCACCTCCTGGCAAATAGAAGGGGAAGAAATGGAGGCAGTGAGAGATTTTACTTTCTTGGGCTCCATGATCACTGCAGATGGTGACAGCAGTCACGAAATTAAAAGATGCCTGCTCCTTGGGAGAAAGGCGATGGCAAACCTAGACAGCATCTTAAAAAGCAGAGACATCACCTTGCCAACAAGGGTCCGTATAGTTAAAGCCATGGTTTTCCCAGTAGTGATGTATGGAAGTGAGAGCTGGACCATCAAGAAGGCTGATCGCCGAAGAATTGATGCTTTTGAATTATGGTGCTGGAGGAGACTCTTGAGAGTCCCATGGACTGCAAGAAGAACAAACCTATCCATTCTTAAGGAAATCAGCCCTGAGTGCTCACTGGAAGGACAGATCCTGAAGCTGAGGCTCCAATACTTTGGCCACCTCATGAGAAGAGAAGACTCCCTGGAAAAGACCCTGATGTTGGGAAAGATGGAGGGCACAAGGAGAAGGGGACGACAAAGGACGAGATGGTTGGACAGTGTTCTAGAAGCTACCAGCATGAGTTTGACCAAACTGCGGGAGGCAGTGGAAGACAGAAGTGCCTGGCATGCTCTGGTCCATAGGGTCACAAAGAGTCGGACACGACTAAACGACTAAACAACAACAACAACAACAACAACAACAAGAGCGGTTCTTCCTCTTCAACTCCCAACCAGTTTGCCAGTTCTTTTATTAATTTCTTTCTAATGTCTTCCTCTTGCATCTCTGGGACACCTCCGAGGCACAGAATTGGCACATTGCGACCATGCTCCAGGAGGCCTGATATGGTACACCAAAAGAGGGAGCTGTCCTTGTCACGCAAGGCCTTTATTAAGCTGTGCCAAGCGTTTCTTTCTGCTTTTTGACTTATCCATTCTATTGGAAGTTTATACTTCTGTCTGAGGGAGACATATTGTGCTGGTCCCGGGGGGGGGGGGGTTACCATGAGGCGTGGTCAGAGTCCGGCCCTGGGTCAAGGGTCTGGAGAATGTCCACCAAGGGCGAAGCGGGGTCCAAAGCAAGAAGCCGGGCGTGGTCGGGAACTCCAGAAAAACAGGTCTGGGTGCTGGCAGAAACAGGTTTCCAACGACGTTGCTCCCGCAACCTGAGACTGGGCTGACTGGCCTTTATCTCCTCTGGGGCCTAGGGCTGTCCCGGCCCACAGGTGACTTGCATCTCCTGGCCTTAAGGCGAGCACTCCTCCTGATAGAACTTAGTTCCCTCCGCCTCTCTGCCCTGAGCCTCTGCAACTCAGGAGAGGATGGAGGGTTACTGGACCCAGAGGCAGCCTCACCTTCCCCTGACAGGGCTGGGAGAGGAGCACCTGCAGGCAATGGGTCCTCAATCATCCCCAGAGCCAGAGTGGATTCATCTGGTGTCCGCGCCTGAGGATCCGGCACAGGTGTGGGCCCTTCAGATTCAAGGCCCTGCCCTGGCTCAGCCGGCCCTGGAGGCGGGGACTCCGGTGCAGGCTGGGATTCCTCTGGTTCAGCCTCTGAATCAGATTCCCAGGCCACCACACATCTGCAGTGAATGGGGGGGGGGTTTAGAGTTCCTATATTTGCAGTAAACTCCTCTCATCAGGTGGGACGTGGGTGGCGCTGTGGGTAAAAGCCTCAGCGCCTAGGGCTTGCCGATCGAAAGGTCGGCGGTTCGAATCCCCGCGGCGGGGTGCGCTCCCGTTGCTCAGTCCCAGCGCCTGCCAACCTAGCAGTTCGAAAGCACCCCCGGGTGCAAGTAGATAAATAGGGACCGCTTACCAGTGGGAAGGTAAACGGTGTTTCCGTGTGCGGCTCTGGCTCGCCAGAGCAGCGATGTCACGCTGGCCACGTGACCCAGAAGTGTCTCCGGACAGCGCTGTTCCCCGGCCTCTTGAGTGAGATGGGCGCACAACCCCAGAGTCTGTCAAGACTGGCCCGTACGGGCAGGGGTACCTTTACCTTTACCTTACCTCTTCAGGTGTCTTTTAGCCTGTTTGCACTCATTGTCAAACCAGCTGGTAGATTCCATTTGCCTTTTTGAATTTTATTTTGAAGCAATTGCTAATCATAGTCCATTTAGCTGGGCTTGCAACTGTCCCTGCTATTATTTAGCTCTCCGCCAGGTGGCGCTGCTGCACCACAAACAGCAGATATACAGACCGGCCACATTGCAAAGGTGAAAGGCAAAGGAATAACAACAACAACAAAAAAAACCCAGCAAAACCACTGGCAAAAAGAGGAACAAGAGCAGTCCCTTTTAATGAGGCTGCTCCCCCCCCTTAAATAAATTGCTCTAGACAATAGCGGTCACAGCAAATTACCACTAAAATGGCTGTTCGCGCCAAAATAAACTGCCCAAGATGCCACTCAAACTAGTGCAGTTTTAACAAGAATTAACTCCACAAATAGCGCTCGCAAAACCGCCCCTTCAGTTTAGCGTTGTGCTACATTAACCTGCACAAAAACTCAACAGGTCAAATAATAAGACACCCAAGTTAGCAACTCTCTCTGCAATAAAAAAGCAAAGATTTCCTTGCAATACAAGAGCGCGCACTTCAAATGTCTGGTTAATGTACTGAAAAGGTAAAAGAATTAATTGACAGTTGACAAGAATTATAGCTATGACCTTTGAACAATGCAGGTGACAGAAGTCTCAGCTCTGTTGGGCAGCGTGAAGCAGGAGCCCGCACACGTTGCGCTGCCACTTTTATACTTTCCCCCACTATCACCCTTCAATATGATTGGGCAATAGCCCTGGGTGAATGTGGTGCCACCCTGACGTGAGGGCGATAGCTCCACCCACGCCAGGGTGGGGGGAACCAGGTTGAGAGCCTGCCCGCAACC